AACTATTTAAAAAACTTTTCTGCTTAGAACAATTAAACATTTTTATTGACATCTTAATTTAAAAGTGGTGAGAAAAGGTAAATTCATTTTAACATAAATCAAACATTTATATTTAACATTATATGGGGGGAGGGGTCTCACTCAGCGGTTCGCTGTCTGAAAGGGGTTGCCAATACAAAAAGTTTGAGATCCACTGAATTAGATTTGTTGACTATTATTAGCCTTAAAAATCTGTCAAACCCTCCTCAGAGGGTACTTGTGCCATTTGTCTAGTGGATAAGGTGCTGCACTGGGAATCAGGTTTTGTTCCCAGTTCTGTCACTGACTTGCTGTATGAGCTTGGGTAACCTGTTTCCCCTACCACCCCCTAGTTGTCTATCACGTCTGTTATTGTAAACTCTTAATGGCAAGGATTCTTAACGGAGTTTGTACTGTGCTTAGGACAATTGAGCCTGATATCTGTTGAAGCCTTTAAGTACCACTGTAATACAAATACTTAATGATGCATGAGAACAGAATCCAGCTCATTTTTCTAGCTTTGCTCTGTATTAACAGGGACAACAAGTAGTAACTTTTGTCATGAAAGCAAGCAGATACAGACAGCTATTACACAAGATCTGTTTAATAAGAATGGTTCATTTTTAGTCATACTTCTCAGTAAAACTGCACTTTAAGCCAGTTTCCTAGTAACTGTTAGTCTTCCTAGCCTTTAAACCATCAATTTTCATGAAAAAGTGCTGTTAGTTAACACCTATTAAATGTGCTGTTCTGTCTCAACTTTAACGTTTCAGGAAGTAGCATTTCACTGCAGTGCCTGCTGCAGATGAGTTCTCTGGGGTTATGGAATAGATGCTATTATAGGAACATATGTCAAAGGCAGGAGTTAAAGCACCGTAAATAACCTCAGTATAGGATTTTCACTCCTGGATATTGTGCATTCCTGGCTCTTCAGATTTTTGCCCCTCTGTGGCACCTGTAGGCTGGCTGTATGGCAGAGCTTTTCCCTACTCAGAACAGTCTAACCCCAGGTACCTCAAAGGCTTGAATATTTGAGCTAGTTCCGTTTTGACTGGTCAAGAAAGGAACTTCCTATATGAGCTGTCTGATGGTTATTTGAAGGTTAATTGTGTGCAATAAAAGGTTCCCTTGAGTCTGTTTACACAGTAGATAAGTAGATTCCACTTATTAGCAACTGCCAAATAATAGCAACTTTTTACTGGCAACTGAGGTGATAAGTGGAAGGCAGGTTTCTGAATCAACAGCCAAGGAAGGAAACCAAGGGCTGCAGCCCCAGAAGGAATGTTCCGAGAAAATCTGCTTGCAGGCCTGCTTGCAGGCAGGGCGGCAGGAGAGGGAGGCTGCAGCCCATGTGCCAGGGCTTTCTGTGGGGAGCAAGGGGACTGGGAGCCAGTGGGGCTGCACTGTACCTTTCCCTGTGCTCTCTGGGGTTGGGGATAAGCACATCCAAGTGCTTCCTTGCCTGTATGTAGTTCCCTGGCAGGGCACAGCTTGGAGAATGCAAGGAGAGAGGTACCATGTGATTCTGACATCTGGGCTGCAACCCCCTGCCCCTGCAGCCCCATACCTCCTGTGTGGTCCCCGTGTGCAGGTGCGCACACTACAGCCCCAGCAGGAAGCACTAGGATGGACTGAGCACCAGCTGCAGGCAGGGAAGGCATGTCCTAGCACTTCCTTCCCTGGCTTCAGGTGGCAACTTTAACAAAAAACAGCATGCTGTTGCCAATATCCGAATCCTCTTAACATTGTGTTAATGGGATGGGATTGGTTCCTGTCAACATATTGCCATTAACTGGAAGTTGCTAATATCAGGATTGCTATTAGTAGAATCTACAGTAATTCCAAGACCTACAAAAGAGTTGTGAGACCTGGTTGGGGAACACCATGCCTTCTGGAGCAAAGCTTTCTGAAACGGAGCGAACATCTGAAGCAAAACTCTTAGGGCTTGTCTACACTGGCACTTGAAACACTAACTTTCTTGCTCGGGGGTATGAAAAAACACCCCCCTGAGCACTGCAAGTTTCGGCGCTGTAACGTGCCAGTATAGACAGTGCACCAGTGCTGGGAACCACGCCCCTTGTGGAGGGCTGTGGTGTGTGGGTTTTTTTTATTATTATTTTTAGATAAGAGTGCTGGGAAAACCCCTCTTCCAACGCTGTGCTGCGACTACACAAGCCATGTTAAAGTGCTGCGGTGGCAGCGCTTTAACATTGCGCGTGAAGATGTACCCTCAGTCTCCTGGGATTGGTCCTGGCCATCCAAATAGAAGAGAGAAATCACATTTGTCTGGATCGGTATGAGATTATTAGACCACTTGTGGCAAGTTAAGAGTTGTGTTAGATGGCTGTTCACTTCCAAGTTCAATAGGTATAGAGTCCTCAAGAAGGTTTCCCAACTCCTGAAATTTTGGTAGGAGCCTACAAAAGGGTCAGCAGTTGTGAATGCAAACTGTTTGCCACAAAGTTTGAATGTTAAGATGTGCCTAACACTGTTACAGTAGAGCAGTTGTGAAATTGTTAACACACAGGTTGTCAGTTTGCATGTAAATTGGTGATTTCTTGCAAGGAACAAGCTAGAGTATTCTGGAGCCTCTTGAAAAATTAGGCTGGAGCAAGCTCGGTATTCAGACTTCGAGTTAAACTACAGGAGTGCTAGAGGGCCTCCCCCCTCATCTCCTCCCCCCCAAGAATGTATGTACAAGACCCAAGAATGAATTCTATATGGTATTTTCAGAGAAATAATAATTTAAGGTAAGTAATTTTGTTCTTGAAAATTGATATTTAAGCCTCCAAACTTAGTAGAAATTCCAAAGGAAATCTTGAATAAAAAGCTGGCCATAAAATAGAACAGATTGAAAATGCTCCTATAAATTTGGAGATTGCACCCAGTAAATAATTTCTGTTAAAAGTTGCTTACATGTTATTCCTAGGAGTCAGGTGCTCTCATGAGTAAATAAAGATATTTGGACAAGTCACTCTTTCACTATAACTGAATTTTTCTCAAATTAGACTTTTTTCAGTCCTTTAAACAAAATGGAAAAATGTCTCTCTAGACAAGGAATAATTGCAGAATTTTGCTTAAATAAGAACATTCTTGAAGTTGTGGTGTCTCGTGGTCATTACTAAAATATTAGTCTTATTGTATACCTTACCATTTGATAAAGACCTCTTGAAGTCTGCTGTTAAGTCAGTTGGGAGCTCATTGCTTTGAAAATCTAGGTAGTTTATTTAGTAGTCTAATTTTTTCCTTGTTGCCCAAATGCCCCCCTCTCTCTCCTCTCTCCCCCCCCCCCCCAAATTTTGTTTGCATCAGAATGGTGTAAATCTAGTCTCTCTTCTTGAATAAATGGATTAAGTATTCCATGGCTAGAGTAGCCAAAAGATGGCCAACTCTTATAACTGCTTCTGTGCCAATAACTTAACTATTTGTCTCCATTCGTTGGATTTTCAGAAGACAATCCTGGCTTGAACAAGCCAAGAAAACTTCCCAACTTCTTACCTTATTAATTTTGACTGTCTGAATTTCTTGATGGATTCTAAATCTGATTGTATGTTGGGCGTTTGTGATGTCTTCACTTTTCTTTTGTTTGATAGTTTTGCATTTGGGAACATAATAATATTTAAATGAATAAGTAAAGTGTTCCATATATTCATGGCTAAATAGTAAACCTGAATGGTCCAAAGTTTTGTCCAGAATAACACAAACAACCTTCTAAGACTTCTAGTATGTCACTTTTTTTAGAAAGCAGTGATTTTTCTTTTTATCCTTTTCTCCTTTAGTTCAGAAGCAGAATTAAATATTCCATGGCTAGAGTATCCATGAACTTTTCCATCTTTTTAACTAGCATATAGAGGATCTAATGTATATACCTGCATGTTTCCCTTGTGACCTATTCTGGTTATGGTACAAATGTGTATTATTATGTTAGTGTTTAAATGAAGATGCCTCAATCTAATAAATCAAGGTTCAGAAATGTTTGTTTTCCTCCCTCAATAGGTGGAAGCAATATGAAGCATATGTACAGGCTCTGGAGGGCAAATACACAGATCTTAATTGTAAGTTAGTCCACTTTCAAAGTCATAAATGTTACACAAAACTGCTTTTAAGTACAGTGTCTCAAGTGATTTATATGCCTTGTTTAAAAAAAAAAATTCAGTAGGGAATAATAATCTGGACAGAAGGGGTTACCTGGCTGGTGCACTGGCCAGGATGGCTTAGTATAGGCCACAAGACCTGCATCTTCTAGAGCAGATCCATCTCTCTCTTTTCTTCTCTCCCCCTCCACCCCCCCCCCCCCGTACGTTCAATCAATTGTCTTCCATTGAAGATCTTCCAATGGCTTTTTCATCTATCAGTAAATGGTCTATTTTTTGTTTGGGCACCTCAAAATTAGAAGGTGTGCCCAGACTGGGGGGGGGGGGGGAAATACATGCCCCCTTTGAGACAGACTTTGGCAGTCTGGGCCATTCAGACCCATCATATTATCCTGTGAAAGAGAGGCTGTATTACACAACCATTATAGGATGAGAAGTGATGGGATTTTTGGTTAAGGGAAGAGATCTAAAATGAATCGCCAGTTAAGTCTTGTATAGGTTATGTATCTTAATTTACCCCTTTTGAATATTCACCAGCTATGCTGTTCTTTAACTGTAGCTCTTCTCCTTTTGAAAGAGAAGAGGAGAGACTTTCACCCACCCTAAGATTGGACGAATGGGTGTGTTTTAGGGTAGCTGAGTCCTAGTTATGTCACTAATTGGACTGGCAGCTAAAATAACTGATTTACCACCTTTTCTTTTCTCCCCGCTTTCAAATCTTGAGACTTTTGTACCACTACTCTTCAAGGTGGCTTTGCTCCCTCAACCTGTCTTTATCATGCTTGCTTTGAGAGAGACTGACATCTAATTGTTTTCATGCTCGTTGTGGTTTTGTACATGCAACAAACTGAAATGAGTGTATGCCATGGATTTTCCTCTGTGCTGGGACCACTCTAGCCCTGTAGAAATGCAGTTGGAATGAAACTTTTAAATGTGATTGGATTGCCATCTCTGAAGTTTTGTAATGTCAAAATGTGACTGTGGGGTTTTGACATTCCAGTTTGAGTATTGTCTAAAAACAATGCTGCTTAGAAATTGAGCACAGTTGCTGAGAATGCACACTCCTCACCTGTACTGGTCTCTTTCTGAAGACCTTTCCCTCCCTTAATACCAGTGCAGCTCCTTGAGTGGTAGCAGCAGAGTTGGAGTGCTAGTGAAGAAGAGGCCCAGGCAGTGGCTAGTTTACACTAGCACTCTTGCAGTTGCTGCTACTGGTATTTAACATGATAGAAAGTTTTCAAAAAAGGACTAGTAGAAACTGCTTAACAGGGACTGTCACAAATGTAAAATGGACTTTAGAGTAATTCCAGTATCTGAACCTTGATGTTTTTGACTTTGTTTTTCTTTAATCTATTTTAAAGGCAACCAGTTTATGCTTTCTAAAGTCGTCAGAGTCTTTGAACTAGTCTGTTGTAAACTAGGCTATTAAAGTTTATGCTGTCTGTATTTGATCATTAATATTAGCTAATGATGTAACTGGATTGAGGGAGTCTGAAGAGAAGCTGAAGCAACAACAGCAAGAGTCTGCCCGAAGAGAGAATATCCTGGTGATGAGACTGGCAACGAAGGAACAGGAAATGCAAGAGTGTACTGTAAGTATTTAATTTTGAGAAACGTCTTAATGTTACAGGAATGTGTCTTCAGCTGAGCATGTACTGCATATTGTTCGTATCTTGTGGGAAAAAATAGGATCAGAATCTAAAGAGTAATGATGGAAGAATATACATTTTAACTTAAACTATAGCAAAGACATTCCTCTCCTGATGAGTGGCACTAATTCAAGTACTGTTACATTCATAAACAATTCTGTACTTTTGCTGCTGCTAACCTGTTGCATGAGTCCATTTTCTAATATATCGTTTATCAAATATATAAATGTCAAATAACTTCCTCACTCTGGATATGGGAGCAGAAGTCAGTGGCATTTTATCCTTAAGTGCCAAGAATCAATGTCTACTGCTGGAGCTTCTGGTCTGACATAATTCATATTGGTGTTGGGTTGCTGGTTTTTGTTATCCTTCCCACTGATTCAGATGGGTAGACAATGCAGTAATTTTAGGAAAGGAGGCTTTGATTTTTTTCTGATCAGAATTCTTTTGAAATTTAGCAGCTCAATTTTTCTTTTCCCTCGGAGTTACACTTCTGTTGCTCCTCTTTTTATATTTAATGATTTTTTTTCTTTCTACTCCTCTCTCCCCCCCCCCTTACTTTTCTGATTTTCTAACTTTAATTTGGCCTCTGGGGATTCCTCTTTCCTTGTTTGGGATTCTCTTGGAATTCTGTATTTTCTCCTTTTACATGTTTCTTCCATATCCCCTCTACTTTACTTATCTAGTCAAGTATTTGTTTCTTCAGTGAGCAACTCATGAGAGAGAGAGAGAGAGAGAGAGAGCTGTAAAATGCTCCCTAATCCTAGGGGTTAAGTGTGCCATCCATCACAGTGCACTCCTAGGATCTACTTGCATGGGGAACAAAGACCTAAGCTCTGCTGAGAGCAGTTTCACAACCCCCTTCCCTTTCTCCAACTTTCCTTCCTCCTCCTCTTCGGGATCACAGAGGTGCCAGAAGTAGTGTGAAACGGATTGTCAGGTTTACATCACTGATGCAGAGCCACTATTGAAACATTGTCGCAGTTCTCTACTCATGCTGTGAATGTTAAGAAATGAAGAGAGGGTTTTTTAATTTTTTTCTCCTTTTCCCCCATACTCTTATTTACAAATGAATGACTTCAACAATTTCATTTTTCTTGTAAAGAACGTTATTTTCGGTTCAGAGAGATTTTTGAAATGCATACAGGAATAATTTTATCTTGTTAGATAGTCCAATTAAACTGTTTCTGAAATGAGTCTGTAGAACATAAATCAATTGTTGAATTCAAGTGTGTGTGTATATGGCATACCACTGAGCTTGAACGACTTAATTATCCAGTAGCTGTAGATATGAGATTACACATTTTGACAATCATGTAAATCCTTGTAATGATGCATCCTTACCTTGAGTACTGCTCCTTTGTGTCAGGGTGCAGTGTTGCCAGGGGTCCTCGTCTTTGGCTGTGGGTTATCATTTTCTTGGCCCTGAGGTGGCCTTGCTCTTCTTCTTTGGCCTGGCTGTCCTGCCAGCTTACACAAAAGTTCACTCCCCTTCTGGGCTAAGAAAAGGTCCAACTAAAAGTCCAAAACAAATGCTCAGATTTATGGTTCTTCTGCCTTCTCAGGCTCTACCAAAGTACTCTGCTTCTTGGCCGCTTCTCCTGGCCCCTGTGGAGCTTCTTGGTTTTCGTGTCTTGGTTCTGCCCCAGGATTCCCCTACTGCCTCCCTTCCCCGGGGACTCCAGCAGCTTCACTTAAGGCCTATGAGGAGTAGGGAGATCTCTCTCACAGCTCAGCCACCTGTGTCTACTCTGCTTCCCGTGGGTCTCTTAGCCCCTCTTCCCCTTCTGGAACACTGGCCCCAAGACAGTGTCCCTGGATGCCTGGCCCCTTCCAGGAGCTCACCATAGGAGTTAGCTCTACAGTAGAGCTCCGCTCTCTAACCACGGCCAGCCCCAAACTACTGGGCTTCCCATGCAGGAGTATCCTATCTCCTCTACAGCATCTCTCCCTGTACTGCATTCTCAGTTGTATTTAAGAAGTCCTTCCTGATTCTCTGCAGCTGGGTCACTGATTTAAATTGCCATATCACCATCAGCTGGGGTTAGCTGGTAGGTCAGGACAGGGCTGAGCCTGGTTTGCCTTAAAGAGACAGCCAGCCTGTGACAATCCTGTGAGGTTTTCTTGGAATGTCATTAAATTGTTTGCAGATAGGACACGTACACCTAAAGAAGATTATCTTACAGAAATTTTTTTCATATCTTTAAGATGGAAATTTATTTTAACTTCAAGGTGTCAAAAAATACAAATTGCAGCTTGATTTTTTGTCCCTTTAAAAAAAACCATTTACATGTTGGCACATGTCCTTTATGAATCTCCTCTTTCCGGGATGGTTAAAAGGATGGACTATCAGCCTCTAAGTGAAGATACAGAAAAGATAAAATGTAAGATGTATACCTTTTGAGTATGTGGGCTTTTTTTAAAAAAAAAAGAAAAAGACAATTGGAGAGGCTTGGTTTTTTTTTTAACTCTTTCAGAGTTGATTTTGCAATGCAGTCTTTGAGGAAGCTTGGTATATGTTTTAAATGGTGGTGGTAGAAACCTGTTTTTGTAACATTGGAAGTGAAGTATTTTCATAAATAAAGTACAGTACTGGCAGCATTATATATGAGAGGGGAGCAAACCTAAGTGAAAAATGGGTTGAACATTGGGGTTTTGTAAACAAACAAAATAAGTTAGTGAGGTCTCACTGTTTAGTGGAAAGATGAAGCCCGTTTAGTGAAATGTTCTATGTGAAATAATATACTGTGTGGATTAGGTAATTTGGTAAAAATACAAAATGACACCACAGGGCATTCCCTAACTTTTGGCTATTTAACTTTGCAACTGTAATGTTCTTTCAGTGTAGTTTTGTATGCAATATGTTTTATATAGAGGGGAATATGTAATAAACATGTTCTTGGAAAGAATCTTTGAAAAAAGGCTTTGTAATAAATTGGTTGACAAGTTGAAGTTCGTTTGAAAGACCTCCTGTAAACAATTAAAATAAAATTGGTATTCTAGTTGAAGTCCAAGTGAAACAGTGGATATCTTAAAGTTGCATAATTAAAATAAAATCTAATCAGTCAGAATTTAAACTGGTTTCAGGGACTAAACCTGCCTCTGGGTCTTCACTGCTGTTTTCAATGGTAGTGGTCTTTCAGTCAGATTTTTTTTTTTGGTTCCCTGTTGCTATGTGGAAGACTCACTCAAATAGCATAAACTCACTATACAAAGAGAACAATCAAGCTAACTGGACATGCAGTTCTGTCAAATGCACAAAATAAAATAAAATAAAATAAAACAAATATTTTTCTATCATGTATACAAAGCGGCCTCAATCCTGCAGGCAGATCCTTGTGCCTGGTGCAGAGTTTTCTTCACTTCAGTGAAACTTTACTTAGGTACAAGGATTTGCCCATTCACACCTACCTGCAGTATTGGGGTGTGTAAGTGACCACGACAGTTAAAAATCAAACCGAAGTGTAATTTTTAAAGTTGATGTTCTTTTCAGCCTGTGAAACTCTTAATTTACTTGCTGTAATCAAGAAACATGAGAGAGGCTTAGGAAGCATATTAAACTGAATTTAGTATAAACCAATTCTGCCTGTGCTAAGGAGATGTAATTTTAACAAGTGTATGGATTTAGAATTCAAATCCTTCTGTTTAGCACCCCTTTTAAAGTAAAATATATAAAGACGTGGTTTTTAAGTTGAAAGAATTCACACTTCCAAAAATGCATTTGAATGAATCATATTTAAATATGGTAACAGTGGTTCTATAAGTAATTCATGTGCTATAGGAAAATAGGTAAATTGAAAGTAAATACAAATCTAACCATTATTCTACAAGGGATTTCATTACTTGATTGCAGAATCTGCAGTCGAACCTAAATCCAAACAGAAACCCTTGTTTTTTGTTGAAGTATAGCTTAAATTCATTTAAAACAAGATAACTAAGTTTCATACTCGGTAACAAAACAGATTTTCAACCTTAGCTTTCTGATTTTATTTTTAAATAATAAGAATACTGCAAATAATACAAACCAGCATCAAAGGTGCTTGTTTGTGGTCTTCAAAAACACATCAGGATTTCAGACAAACAATTTGGAAATAGTAAGAACCACTATTTATTTGTTGACATTAAAGTCATCACTCTGATTTGGCCTACATTACAGCTATATGGAAACTATTCAATTTCTAATTTGACTCTGGGAAAACTCAGTGTGTTTTTGATACTCTTCCTACTTGTAGTCACCTTTCAAAAGAATGCAAATAGTACAAAAGTAGAGGATTATAGTAACCTAAATGCTATTCTTATTATGCAAACCTAAATTGAGGTGGTATGAAGAATTAATTAGATTTGGGAGAGAGGAGCAAAATTTGTAGCCTTCAAATTTAAAGTAAGTTGAGTTATTTTTTTTCTATTCTGGGTTCATTTTCCTATTGATTATACTTTAGTTAATACTGCTATCTGCATGTGAATTTAACAGTTAAAATATGGAAGAAAAATGAGCTTTTAACTCCATCAGCAGAACAATGTGGTTTTTTAACTCTGTCCATTCTGTAATCATTGAAGCTTTTTAAATTATAAATGAGTAACAATTTTTCTCTTGTTTTATGCAGAATCAGATTCAGTACCTCAAGCAAGTCCAGCAGCCTAGCGTTGCCCAACTGAGATCAACAATGGTGGATCCAGCCATCAACTTGTTTTTCCTAAAAATGAAAGGTGAACTGGAACAGACTAAAGACAAACTGGAACAAGCCCAAAATGAACTGAGTGCCTGGAAATTTACGCCTGATAGGTAAACAAAACAAATACTCCCCAGTCAAGACTTCCCTGACAGTCTCACTGCGAGAATGCTATGGTGGGACAGCCAAGTACTCGTTTCCACACCAAGACTCAGACGTTTTGAGCCAAAAAGCCACATTCTTATACTGTCCAGCTTGTAATGCTTAATGTAAAACTTACCAGATGAACCTTGTGTTTCAGCTTTTTTCTCCCCCTTTGCTTCAGAGGCCTGATGGCGTCGGACTATTCTGAAGAAGTGGCCGCCTCTGAAAATTTTTTCCTTTCTAGAACATGTAGACACGTGCAAAGTGGTTCTATTTGAAGAAATAGAGGGAGAAACAGAAGTCTTAAGTCTGTGGCACACTGTGTCTACAGACAGTTTGGAGGAGAGAGAACCTAGAGATTTTAAATCATGAATTGAACATGTAAAATTCCAGTAAAATGTAAAAATGGAATATGCTTCGCTCTTAACCTTGAGCCTAGTGACTTAGAGACACTGTAAGTCAGTTTTGCCAATAAGACTGTGGACTTCCTGCTTGTTCACTGAACTGCTGGGTCAAAACTCAATGAGGTGAATTTTGCATTAAAGAGTTTATTTGCTAACCAGCTTTAAATAGCCATGAGAGAGTGCTATTTCATATCGCATCAGTGGTAGTGTACACTTTTGACTGACTGTTTAGCATTTGGGCTATATAGCATTTCACTGAGCCTTAAGTCAATATGATTTTAAATAATGGATTGTTCTCTGGATGGTTGATAATACTGTGGACTCAAAAATAGTACCTGTATTTTATACAGTCCTATCTAATTGCAAGTTTAAATTGTTTGAAGCAATATATTTGATCACAACTAGAGTGTATGATGAGGAAAACTAGTTGTGATAAGTATTTCACTGCATGTTTCCATGCAGAAATTAGAATTTTTCAAACTTCTGTTCTGAGAACTGATCTCAAATGCTCCATATATAAGGCACACATAATGGCAACTGTCTTCAGTGTTGGTGTGGGGTATTTTTTGTTTCATTGTATGCCTGTTTTTGTATTGCACTTCTATATAAAATGTGCCTTGAAAGAGTTGTTAATATAGAGCTTAAGGAACTTGACTGGTCATTCTATTGTACTGTGAAACTTTTGGGGTAATGAACGAGAATGTTACCTTTTAAGATGTCTCGTTCTCTGAAAAAAGAGGGAAGACCATATTCTTAAAAAATAATAATAATTTAAATGCATGCATCCTTCTGGCTGGAATCAATCAAGGAACTTTGCTACTCTATTGATGCCTTTTTGTAATGTTGTCCCAAGTTATTTGCAAGAATAGTAATATGGGACAGCTCAGAGTGCATGTTTGAGATGTGTAAGTGTGCAGAGAAATGTGAAATTATGTGGACTGGTATAGTGCTCATGTATTTCGGGCACTATTTCATGACTCCGTCCAACACTCTGGAAAGTTCAGTGTAACCATATCATTTAAAAAACAAACAAACCAACCTACCTAAAAACCCCAAATCCACCAGGTTCAGTTTTATAAAAGGTAATGTATTCTAAGGTGGGTAGACAATAACTGCTTATTGTTCAAAATGCAGTTTTCATTAAGATCACTTAAATTTTAATTCAACTCAAAGTATCTTAAAGTGTTGTGTGTTTCAGATAATTAATGTGGGCGAGAGAGTAGTGTGCTTGTGTGTAGGCTTATTGTTATCTAAGCAATAGATTTACATCAAAAGAACCTTCAAAATTTTAACTTTAAAAAAAAATTACACATCTATTGAACCTACTTTGCTGTGCCAGTATTATGTAAGGTTTTAGTGGTCTAGCATCAAAACAAAGGTAAGACTTGCATTAGTGAACAATTTTTGTGTTAACTGGTTACCAAATTTGAAATTACTATTTACTATAATATGCAGTCAAAAAAGCCAGCCATGCTGATTGCTTGGTTAACTTGGAGTTTATAAATCAGTTAATTTATTTAGATAAAGGATGCAAAACTGTCCTCTGGATCAAAATGTGTGGTGTGACACTGAGGTGACAGATGTTTCTTACCACTTTCTTAATTTCAAGCAGAAGTATTTAGAATTTTTTTTGCTAACTTTTATATAGTCTTGAGGGGGGAGGTTATGTTGTGTTTAAATGTAAGTGATAAAAGAGAACTGAACAATATTCCCTAATTCAAATTCTATGTAATCTGAGTCTAATCATGGTGCAAGTATATAAATACATATTAGATATGTGCAGGAAATAGAATGCAAGGAATCAACAATGTATTTCTTGTCTGTTTAATTATTTAGGGAACTTTTTTATTTGTCATTGGGTTCATGATTTTATTTTCATTGGTAAAGGGATAATGAGTCAGACTGCTCAAGCTATAAAGGGTTTGTAGAAATTTTCATTTATCGTTTCACTAGGACCTGTTTCCCATTATCGTCCCGTCCTTGTGTATAACCGCTCTTATTTCATGGCACCTCATCTCATGTTTGAAAGAGTTGATGTTCTCCTTCAAAATCTTAAATTGTTCTGAACTAACACAACACGTGTCTGCTCTAATACCACTGCAAGCCCAAGTTTAGCATCAAGCCTAGGACTTCATTGTGGTAGATGCATACAACATTATCCTTGCTGACAGATGTTTAGAGGGGGAAAGAAGGGAGTGGTTTTATTAAGCCATTTAAATCACCATTTAAACATTCAGTACATAATACACATTTTTGTTTAAATTAAATGTCAGCAGAAACTTCACTTACAGAAAGCTTACTGCTACGGATGTTAGTCTTTTTTGAAATTTAACTTCTTCCATTTTTACAGGTTTTATAGTATGTGTTCTCACATAAATTTGTTAAACATACAGTTGCAAAACCTGGTTCTGTGACTTTAATCAGAGTTATTCTAAGATTTACTGCCTTTGTTATTCTTGCATGTATTACCTTTATTACATCATTCAACATGCAAGGTAGGTTTGTTCAAACTCAGTAGTACAAAATGTTTAGACAATCTTGAGGGGAAAAGTTAAATTGCATTATAGGTAACTGTGCAAATTCCTATACGGGTAATAAAAGCAAAAGGTTTGTTGTGGCAGGAACAGACCTGGTGAAGAAATTAGCAGGCATTCTAGAATGGTGCAAAGCTTCTGAGGTTGTTAATGGTGCATACTAATACATGCAACAGTTGGCAATGGCTGTTATGAAGACATTACATGATTATAAACTTTTGAAATCTATAGTGGTGGTAAATACAGAATAAAAGTTTACCAGTAGCAGGAACTTGGAACTGGCTAAATCATTGCCTATCTGCCTAAAAGCTTTTGCAATATCTGTCACATTGGTTAAGTCCAAAGTGGTCCTAGTTTACACAGAATAAATAAGCATCCCGTAGAAAATTTTTATCTTAAATTGTATTACTTGTATTGTATTAGGTCAGCACAACTCTAAGCTTCAAGGACTTGGCATTGGACATCACATCAAGATAAAGAACAGGTTGCTGTATTAAGCACATTTGCAGGCTTCCAGGACTTTACGCAGCCAGATTCCTTCTGGAGCAGCCCATCTGAAAGATGTGGGAGAGTCAGTTGGAAGACTTTAAATGGGACAGAGTTGGCAGAACTTTTAAAAATCTGAAGTGTTAAAAGCTTGAATGCTTAAGCAGTAGCTAATTGAGAGATGATTTGAAGTGACTTTTGGCTGGGCACCAGTTTTGCTGTGGATGTGAAGCATACTAGCAATTTTTTTTTCTTTTTAATATGCAAAATTTCATTCTGCCCTTGTGACTTTATTATACAGTCTCAAGCTGACCTCCTCAGGCTTGTTACCTAATACAAGTCCTGAAGTTCAATCACAAACCTGATTAATTCTGTTTTTCTAGGGCTTTCATTTCCTGTGGAAAAAGAGGACTGCTTCATTATATATGTTGCTGAACCTCAAGGAAGGCAAAACATTTGGTTACTTTCCTAGCTTTGGCAGACCAACAGTGGTAGAGGGCTTTAGCTATCAATTTTATTTTGTGATGAAATAAACATTATTGCCTATATATTAATTTGCATACTAGTTCCTATAATGCTCTACATTGCAGTTTTAACATGAAGATTTAAGATATGCATGTGTTCCTGATTTTGCAAAAAGCAGAATATCAAATCTGCTTTTTCCCTATGAAATACTTTTTGGTCTGATGTTTCCTGGCTTTTGATCACCAGACACTCTTAAAGGGACACTGTCAACTTTCAAATCTGGTTAAACTAAAAAAACAAAAAACAAAAGCTGCTTATACTTGCTCCTGGATCCCCCTGCTGCCTTGTATTTTTCAGCTCCATTTTCTGTTATCTCCTCTCACACTCGTGAGTGAGAAGGAGCTGACTGTAGCTATTGGGGAAACAACAAAGCAATGTATATAGTGTCAAAAGTACAAAATTGGAAAAATATAAATATTTAATCATTCAGGTGCATTAAGAAGTTTTCATGCTGATCAAAAAAAAAATCATTAAATTCAATATTCTCCAAATCTGACAGTTTAAAAAAAAATAGCTGAATAGCTAGTAAAATATTTTTAGTACATAAAGTGAAGGATCACTTTTAATGTTTGTAACTCACTGTCTGATTACCAGGCACATACTTAACCTTGTTTTTTTCTTCCTTTGAGAATGGACAAATGCCAAATTGTGTCTTGATAGTCCAGATGTCAGTAATCAAAAACATTGTGGCCATTCATATTTACAGTAATAGAATTTGCCTTTCGCTTTTACGGAACAGCGACAGAAGATCAACAGACATTGGAACAGCACGTGGTAACTATAGGGAGACTTTCTGCTATGACAATTACCTTGAGGCACAATGTTCCTTAAATTGTGACATGCAGAAATCGCATCTCCTATCTCTGTTATAATTGTAATTGAGGAAGATTACAGAAGGTTTTATCTTCATTTTGTGATAGATGGCTCTTTCCTTTGCAGCCAAACAGGCAAAAAGTTAATGGCGAAGTGTCGAATGCTTATCCAGGAGAATCAAGAGCTTGGAAGGCAGCTGTCCCAAGGACGCATTGCACAGCTTGAGGCAGAGCTGGCTTTACAGAAGAAATATAGTGAGGAACTAAAAAGCAGTCAGGATGGTAAGGGCTTTTTTAAGAAAATGGAAATTGCCTTGCATTTGCACTGGCTTAATTATTTAATCTACTGGTCGTGTGGATATTGTAAATTAGCCCATTACTGAGCATGAGACACTTTCTTTTTTTTTTTTTTCCCCTTTCCCAGAATCAAAGGGACAATGTCAGGTTAAACATAACTTAAAAATTCTTATCTGTGGTGCTGGTTGCCTTAGATTACTAAAACAAAAAAAATCAAGGCTAACTTTGACGCTTACGCTGGGGTGAGAGTCACTTTAAGGTGGAGAATGAAACTATTTCACTTTTTGGGTCTGAACACAATATTTTGCACTCTCTGGACTGCAAATACTACTGAACTGTTTAAATCTAAAACTTATTTTTTTTATTTCATGCAAATATTGATGGGATGTTTTATAGTCTCACTTCATTTGCTAAAAACAGCCTTTTAACAATACCTAAAATCAATAGAAATGTTCACAGGAATCTTTTTACATTTCAGTGACTATTTTTTACACAAATGTTCTGCAATAGTCACAATCCAAATATTGCAGCATTTATTAGTGCCTCTGAACCTGCAAGTGAAACGATCTGTGAACTGACTTCTTTCCCCATAGCTGAAATGGAAGAAAAAATCCTAGCCTACTAAATTTCCAGTCTTAACGGTTCAGAGTTTATAACATAGGTCAGGAAACTTCTTTTAAACTTACTGTCCTGAGCGTGACCCTTAGACTTTTTTATAAAATATTTAAAAAAGAAAGTTTCAGAATTAAGTCTGACACTGTCCCTGAATCCAGTTGCAAAAAAGGAAAGCTAGAAGTTCAACAGGACTATGCAGGTTTTATTTGACTTTACAACCTGTAGCTGGTTAATGGCTTGTGACATGATATACTTGTTTTTGAAGATAGGATTATCTGTTTCCTTTGTGAGGAAGCTCATTGTAGAATGGTAGAATGCCTAAGAAGAATTAGGGAAAACAGTTCTTACAATTGTGGCATCAATTTGCAATAGGTTACTGGAATGAAGATTACTTTTTCGGTTCCCCAAATTAATGTGTTAAATCATCCAGGTGACTTTTTTCCTTCTAAATTTATCAAGTTGGTAATTGAATCAAAGGAAGCGAATGTTCTTTCAAAAATTGCCTCTGCAGATATCTATACTCTTGAATATGATGCAGTATTACAAGCTTCAGAATGATTTAAAAGCAACCACTAGGGGTTTGAGCACACCTTCCCTACAGAGGCAAATGTTTTTAAGTGAGATTATAAAAGGCCTGAGATCTTAACCAGTCCACAATTCTGTTCTCTTCCACCCATGACCATTCATTTTCTCTTTTTTTAAGTTTCCTTTATAGCTGCAAATAGTATGTTAGAGTTCTGAAAAGTCCACCTTTTCAAGATACTTTGTTTATAAAACATCAAAATAAAGTAATATAGACTGCATGTTTTGCTTTGTCATCTTCGAGTTAATGTGCAGTTTAATGTAAAAAGTGACCAAAAATTGCACTGTTATTCCATATTTCTCTTATTGACCTGGTCAGACTTGCTCAATTTGCCAATACAATTTTTTCTTTCCCTGACTCCCAGTATTGCAACCGCAATCCAGGCTATGAGAGGCAAGCTGTTTTTTCTTTTGTTATACATCCATACTAAAAATTCTACAGTTGGAACTTGGTTAACAATTCTGTTAATGATGCACAAATCAGACTGGAATCCATCTCTCTCCTGTTGTACTTGTTATGCAGGGCTGAAAGGAGGAAAAGTAATTAAAGCACATATTGTTAGTAAACTAATGATTCTGAATACCTACAAGTAGCCCATATGTTGCATCAGAATGTGCTTTGTCCCTTTTTTTATGATTGCTGCTAACCTATTGTGTACCTGGAAGTGAAGTTCACTTGCAGAATATTTCCTACTAATACTTTGAGTTCAGCTATTTCCCAGCACCTATTTCTACACCCTCCCTTTGTCCAAGAATGGATTTCTCCACACAACCCCCCACCCTCACCCAATAGCTGTTTTTGAAAAAGTATGTAGATGGCAGTTTGGAATTTAGGTTTTCCTCCATATAAAACATTGCAACATCACACATTTCGCAGATGCAACAGCTGAAAATACAGACCTCTAGGAACTTGAGCATACAAACCTTTAGTAATAACTCTATCTACTCAGGGTTCTTTTATATACTGTTTTAGGGTCCAGATGTGTGAGCTATTAAGTGTGTGCTCCAAATGTGTTTTCTCTATATAGAATTGAATGACTTCATCATCCAGCTTGATGAGGAGGTAGAGGGTATGCAGAGTACCATTCTAGTTCTCCAGCAGCAGTTGAAGGAGACTCGCCAGCAGTTGGCTCAGTTCCAGCAGCAGCAGTCCCAGGCCTCAGCCCCAGGTACCAGCAGGACTCCATCTTCTGAGCCTACAGACCAGGGAGAGGCCATGGGTAAAGACTGCAGCCGTCTGGCTAATGGACCGAGCAACGGCAGCTCTTCCCATCAGAGGACGTCTGGGCCTGGATTTTATAGGGAGGGTAGTGGCACAGAAGATGACTTCCCAGCGTCTCCAGGGAATGGTAATAAGCTCTCCAACCACTCTGAAGATAGAACTGTCAGAGGCGGTTGTAGCTACATAAACCAACTAAGTACTGGGTATGAAAGTGTAGACTCTCCCACTGGCAGTGAAAACTCACTCACTCACCACTCAAATGACACAGACTCCAATCATGATCCTCAAGAAGAGAAAACAGTGAGCATGAAAGGTAACAGAACTGTGGGTTCTCGTCATGTTCAGAATGGTTTGGACTCCAATGTAAATGTCCAGGGTTCAGTTTTGTAACATTTTTTTTCTGCAACACTTTTATACAGTGTCATTTAAATTGGGAGAGGATACTGTCCAGAAACCGTTTAAATTAGTGCATACTTGTCACAGTTTTGCCTTTTTGTGGGTTTTTTTGCTTCAATACCTCTGCCACTTTGGAAATTTTAACAGTTAATTACGTTGAATGTTGCTAAAAGGACATTTGTGTAGGCTCAAGTTATTTTTATATGAGTTAATGTGAAGTTGAAAATGGAAATTATTTCCACAAAGTATAACATAAATGATGTCTGTACAAATCTGTGTATATCTAGAACCTGTGCTGTGTAAGGGCATTCTTACTCATATTGTTATATTTACACCACATTCAAAATTTGTCATACTAGCTGTGGGTTTATGACTGCCAAGCTTGCCCAGTACAGTAGTTTTATCACTAAAAGATGGACTTGTTGAAGGAGTCCTGTAGTAGTTCCAGTGTTAATTACAGTTTTTTCCACCATACATCTGTGCATTTCTCCTTAGGTGACCGAATGTTTAAGAAGTTTGTGTGCATAGTTACTCAGTTTTAAGAACTGTTGTATCTTGTTTATGCATATTGCTCTGTGACTCCAATATTATCTTACCTGTACTGACCAAACCTAAATAAAGACTTTTAATAATGTAATTTATTTTAGTCTGCATTGGTTTCATATGATGTATTTGTATACAATGCATTTTTATTGTACATGTTTTCTGTTGGATTATTTGCCCACTACCAATCTACATAGTAAAAAATCATGCTGAAGACTCAAGTTTGAGACCTGTGGCATTTTGTTTTTAATAAATAAAAATAAGTTCTTGTAGTTTAATTTCAGGTTGGCTTGGTGGCTGGGGTGTGTGTGCTTATCTTGTAAATTCATTTTGTTGTCACCAGATGAAGAAATGATAATACCATGTGTGAAGAATTGATATTGCAGGCTTCATGGTGTCATATCTGATTCTTAGCGAGGTATACATGTTTTGTGCGTAAATTCACAAGGAATTAAACTATGAAGGATGAAGAAATTAAGTTATTCCTGGTTTTGTTATTATTAACTTAACCTTAATCTTGAGTTAAAGCAAATCTGAAACTGCTTAAAAATAGCACACTTTATATAGTCAGATAAGTGTGTTTTTTAGTTACAAGTTCTTCAGCACGTGAATTTCTGGTGACACAATCTGCTTTACCAATTTAAAGGTGGCTGTATGAAAACGAGGAGATAAGTTATCTAGTGTCAATGCATTTCTAGTTAAAGGTAAAATTAAAGCAATTTTAAAAGGTATGGCACTCACTTATCTGGTGGGTTTAGGGTTAAGAACCGAAGTGATTTAGCCAGATAATTGTGTTTATAAAAATGCCAATCTGCTACTTGACGGTTTTATGCTGCTTGTGCATAGCTGAGGCAAAAAAAGAGAAACACTGCTGCCAGCTTTGCAGCCTACTTGTGGAAGCACTTGCACTTCTGTTGCTGTAAAGCAGTACTTGTAAGCCATGTAGATTTTTGGAAACCATCTTTTAACTAATTGCTGTTAAAAGAAACTGTCCACTATCCATTTTACTAAATTCTTATAAGAATAAATGTTTTGATATTTTCTTTGGTACTGTAATCTAGAGAAGGATGTGGAGTCCATGGTATACTAAAGTGTCTGTAATAGCAATATCAAGAGATGAGGGGATG